AGATCGTGTTTTGAATGGTCGGCGGTGTTTTTGTGTGTTTGTGTGTGTGTGTGTGTGTGTGTGTGTGTGTGTGTGTTCCTTAGTACTTTACCAGTCTTTAGTGCATTACTCTCCTTGCTGAAGTTTCACACTCTTCCTTCCTGGCCCCATATGGTCATTTGAGGCGGCCTGCAATCCTTTTTCTTTTCTTTTGTGAAATTTGAATCTCTCCTAAACCTATTGAAGTACAAATCAAGGTGTTGATATTGTTGTTGTGGTTGTTTTATCGTTCTTCTGTATACATAAAGCAGGGACAGAAACTTAAGGTTCAACAGTGTACTACGAGGTAAACTTGCTTCTATTGACCACTAACGGAGACTGGGGCTGTAGCATTGGAAGAAGATGAAGAAGTAGTAGTAGCGGCTGCTACGACAGTCTGTTGTTCCTTGTAAGGCAGCTTCCTCCAGCTGCCGCCGCACACACACGCCCTCATCCATCTCTGATCCCAGGCTCTTGCTGCCGCGTGGTCACTGATCCCTTCCACCAGGGACACACAGTTGCACCTGAAGGAATGAACGCTTGATCAGAATCGAATGTTATGAGTAGGGACTGAACAGCACGATTATAGCTCATTTGAAGCATGAGCTTTTTTGGAAAGAGAAATCTTAAGGTAAATCCAAGTTCAGAATCTGTCATTGTAATACAAACTTATTACCTGGTGCACTGTTTTAACTTTGTCTCCGGTGATTTGTCCAAGTAAACCCTTCTTACGATATCCATGACATGTGAGCCGTCGGCAGGCATCGGGAAAATGGCTGAGGCGAATGGATGGAAGGTCTGATGATACTGGTGTGCCACTGGCTGTGAACCGAATTGATACACGCTGGGCCGGATCGTTCCACTTACAGCTTTACCAGACACTCCTAGGATAAAAACACGCGTTCATCACAAATCGTGAGGTAAAGGATACATGGTGGCCAAGTCTAGTTTTTGCGGACCTCAGCGAATCAAATGTACTGAATAAGAACGAGGCCAATATCCAGCCATCTGATGCGAACAAAATGGACTAATTTCAAGGCCAACAGATTCGCTTGTAACATTGCTGGTACTCTCAAGTCGGCAATGCTTACGTAGCCGATCATATCAAAGGATTCGCGGACTCGCCGGTTCGCGGAGCCAGCCATTCAAAAATAAAAATTGTAAAAACAGAATTCGTGCGAACAAGTGTTTCTCTAATCAAAATCGGTTACATCAAACTTGATATGGCTGCTAAAAGTTTCTAGCGAAACAATTTGGATATATCAACGAAGTCGAATTGGTAAATTGGCCACCGTAACGATTGCAAAAGCTGACGTTTCGAGCGTTAGCCCTTCGTCGGAGTCTTTTGGTCAGAAGTTCTTTTCAGACTAATGATCAACCAGGCACTTTTAAATGCGCTCGTGCACGATGCAAAACGTGTCCTTTCATTCACAACACTGATAAAATATCGGGACCTAAACGATCCATTAAGATCACTGATCACTTCACGTGCACCTCCGCCAATGTAATCTATTGCATC